GGAAACGGAGTGAACTGAGTACCTTCATCCAAGTTGAACAAACTCCTTTGTGAATACGACCTGTTGGTGTCTTCTCATAAACCAATGCACAAGTTACATGAATTCGAGATGGTGCCATCCTGTAAATCATAATTATAGATGGTAAATATGTTCACATATATTTAAAAATTTTAGAGCTAGAATAAAAACATTAAATTGAAGATGGTAGAAGTGTTCCTAAATGAGATATCCATAATGCTACCGGCTTAATCATCTGGTAAACATTTCTTCACCTTGGCGAGGATGAGATGGAATAGTATCTAGGCTGCAACCGAGGGGCAACAGCGGCAAAAAATACGCCAAGTGGAGGCTTGGCTGAAGGAAATTCAGCCAAGACCTCAAGGAGGCTTCTCTGACTTGCAACCATCCATTGTGCATACTCATCCTGCATGAATGTCAGAAGGTGCATCAGCTTACAAATAAGCCACAAACAGGGAAATTGAACTATAATATAAATAGACTCCTCGAACCTTTCCAGCAGGCGATGCAAGGTGTCTTAACCGATCAGCTTCAGTTGGATCAGAGGCATGAGCAGCCAAAGCAAGTAAGGCAGACTGGGAGTTGTATGCATTAAAGAATTAGCTTCTTTTCTCAAAGAAAAAGAAGATGAGTTCATGATATATCGAGAACAAGAAAATAATCTAACCTTTTTTGGTGAGCTCAAAAGATCAGCATATCGTGCTAGTGCTGTCCTTAGAGTGCAAGGTGGGAAAGGAGGAGGCAAAGAACTTCCACCAAGTGAAGTGCCATCCTCTTTATCAGTATGAACAGAGAAATAGGTGTTCGGTGATAACCCCAACAATCTCAATGCTTCCTCTACAACTTCGTCTAGATTCTCACAGTAAACACCAACATGATCACCAGTTTCATACCTGAAATGGAAGACAATTGTAATTAGGCGAAGTTCTCTATAATGTTAAAAGGAAAACTTGAAATTCAAAGCACTCAGCATCTGATCTAAAAATGAGGATAAGATAAAAGCAACTTACGAAAGTCCGGTGCCAGCAATGTCAAATTCAAGATGGGTGCAAGAACGATCAGACGCAGGAGTATGAAGCTCCTTCCTTACAGCCACATTAGACCTTTAAGTTAGAAACAAAAGAACATGTTAGATTTCATCAAAGAAAAATACTAAAAAGTAGTCACCAGGATATCTGTAAAAACTGTTCTTGTATACCTGCATGGATGGTGAGCATCATAAATAGTATGGCCATTTGCATTGCTCCAGTTTTTATCCTCAACAGGTGCATCTGCAGGATCATAAAATACAACACGGTATTCCAAAACAGCAGCAGTGTATGGAGTAGAAACAGTTGTTGCATCATCTTCGTCACGCAAAAGCTGATCCAACTTGGGCCACACAGTTTCACGCCTAGAAGAGAAAGATGGTTCAATAAAGCGTAAAGGTAAAAGAACGAAAAAAAAACTTTTTATTCAAACAGATTTCTTAATACCAAGCCGTAAAGTCATCTTCAATGCATTGGTCATCATCTCCGAGACCCACAGGAACTAAGCGCTCCGCTCCTGCAAATGTAAGGGATAATGTTGGCCCATAGGTTCATACGTAGTGAAAATCTGATGACGACATATATGAACCGACTATAAAACAATCTATGGACCCAAGATTTTATCCATCTGTTCATAAGCAGGGGTGGATAAAAGAACAATTAAAAGCATACCCTGCTCTATAAGAATGTCATCAACCACCTTTGCAATCTTGTTAAAATGTTCATACTGTCTGTTACCAAGCCCAAAAACCCCATACTTCATGTTCTGAAGCCATTCTCCCCGCTCTTTTCCCTAACCAATCACACATTCAATAATTCAATAATAGCTAATTAAACAAAATCTAGTAAAACGGCGATTATCGTAACTTCGCTAAAGATAATAACTCATTATCAATTTACCATCATCAACCAACCGCAATTAAATTTACCTCAGTTAACCATTTATGGAATCTAGCTGCATTATCAGTCGGCTCACCATCTCCATATCTACAGGTTCACCAAATATAGCAAATCAGTGAATCAAGTTCTAAAATTATACATGGACAGATATATGATTTTATGTTTGGGGGAAGAACTTATAGAATTCTAGAGAGTGAAAACATATTATCAATATAAAATATAAAAAAAGTATCTAAAATATACTATAATTTAAAATTTTCAGGCCACACCTTGGTCCATTCTTGCATATACATATAATATATACACATAAACACAGCAATACAAAATATAGAAGTATAACCATAAAAAGAAAGGCAAATGATTCAAAATAACTCACGTGGCTAAGAAGAAAAACGTCAAACTCTCCTTCTTCATCTTCTCCTCGTATTCATCGTCATCGGCCGCATAATCATCCTACTTACAGTACCGAAAAAAAAGATCAACGGTTAAAATCTCTAATTCGAGCTAGAAAACTTAAAAAACAAAAATAAAATGAGCTCAAAATTAAACTGACCAAATCTACAATTTTAAACGTCGCCTTATCGTACCGTGCTTTTGCCTCCTCAGCTAGAGCCTGAGTCACAGCCAAACGTAAATCACGATCGAGAAAAACAAATCAATGAACAAAATCAAAAATAAGGAACTACATATAAATGGAATGGAACCTTGGCGAATCCTTCGGCGGTACCGGTTTGCGTTCCGAAGAAGACGGTGACCTTCTTCTTCCCGTCGTCAACTTCTTCATCGAGATCTCTAACGATCAAAGGCTTAGGAGGAATGATTTGCTTAGGTCTCCGAGAACCGGATCTACGCCAGAACAAAATGACGACGCAACCGATTAGCAAGGCGATGGAGGTAGTCAAGATCATAACGATCTCTTTGTTCTCGACAAGGACGGCGGCAATCTCGGTGTTGGAAGGGTCCGTTTTGGCCTTGATCAACGCTGAAAACAGATCCAGCGGCGAAACTTTCATGGAACCTGAAGATGAAGATGAAGCCTCCATTTCTTCGTTGCTTTTGGGGAATCGAAAACGAAGAAACGGAGGAGACGATGAAAAATGGGCGTTGTTGGGAGGTTGGTGGTGATGGAGGTGGTTTAAAAAGAGTGGCAATTGACCAACCAGCAAAGCCGGGGAAGGAAAGGAGCTTTGCTGGTTTATTTTTATTTTAAAATATTACCTTCTTTGGCTTCCACGCAAATTATGAGAACCAGAAAAAAGTATCTCTCTATTTATTAGGGATGGGCAACGGACAGCATGGTAGGCCTGTAACTGAACTGAACGTTCAGCTAACCGTTCATGAATCGTGCGGCGGGAAGTTTGTTTATGTGCGTTTATTTATTAAATGAATGAACATGAATAAGATTTTGTGTTCGTTTAATTAAATGAACGAACATGAACATAGGTCTCGTTCGTTCATTTACATTCGTGAACGTTCGGTTATGTTCGTTCGGTTATGTTCGTTTATGTTCGTTTATGTTCATTCATTTATGTTTAACCAAATCTTTTTAAATCAATTTTGGTGACTAATATGTAAGTATCTTAAAAATATTAATTAATATGATATTCTGATGATCAAGTTCATAATTAACCTAATTTTATTTGGAGATTAAATCCAATATGTTAACCCGTGAGGCACTTCGCACATATATTCATTTCTCCCTTTTTTTTCTCAAACCCTAGTGTTCACTGGAGAGTGGAGACGATAGCTGAAAGCTTCAAAACAAGTTATATTATAGTGCAATCTGAAGTTTGACATGTCTGTTTTCATCTCTTTCTCTGTTTTATTTGGATTAATAGTTGATAAGTAAAGCTATTGCGGGTATCTTCATATCTAAAATTCAAGAAAAAATTATACTTCTTTATAGAAATAGATGGGAAGATAAAGGTAACAATCAAAAGTATATGAGTATCAGTAAAGAGAAAATATATAGAATTTTTCAAAAAACAAAACAAAGATTTCTATGCAATTTATGAAAAAGAGTGTAATAGCGGAAGTAATGGGTTTTCCAGGAAGAACCCATTAATAAGTAGAAAATACACTTTGACAATGAACTTTTGTTTTCATAATTCTTGACCTTTAGTTGTGGGGTAGACTTTAGGTACGTTAAATGTTTGAATGGTGGTTTAGCAATAATATTAATTACGATATGTAGCATCGAAGGGATTTCGGATTTATGTTATTGTCTTGTAGTCCAATTTGTACCATTCGAAATCTTCATGCTGTTAAAATTTATACACTGCCAACGGAAAGGACCATTATTAACAAACCTCACTAAAGTCTGACATTAATGTCACAAAACTTTTAGCCGGCGAATTTATTAAAATAACATAGTGAAAAATGATTGTTCATATGTAATTATGTATCACTAAGATAAATACTATAGCGTTAAATTAAAGTCGTGTGAATAATTTAATATCTTTAAAAGATCGATCGAAATATTTGATATCTTCAAACATTTCATCACTGTTAATAAGCTCTTACGCTATTTATCACTGTAGATTTGGTTGATTTGCATTGTCGACTATTTTTTCATGAAAGAACAATGGAAGGTAGGGTCTCCAACGTTTATGTTCGTTTATGTTCGTGTTCGTTTATGTTCGTTTATTTGTTAAATGAACGAACATGAACAAGTTATATTCCTTAATAAACAAACATGAACAAAAAAAATGTGTTCGTTTATGTTCGTGTTCGTTTAAGTTCGTTTATTTATTAAATGAACGAACATGAACATACCTCCGTTCATGTGCGTTCGATTCATTTACAGGTCTAAGCATGAGTCCATCTTTTTATCACTCTAATTCTGAGTATAAAAGATATATCTTATATTCGTTTATAATTATATTTATAATAATTATTTATATTTTAAACAGTTAAAATAATATATTTATAATAACTTTTATACTTTTAATAATTAAATAATATATTTAATAATATAAAAAATATTTCAAATATTAAATAATATATCTATCTTTAATAGAAGGTCCATTTCCATGCAAAGTAGTCCTCATTCTTGTTTATCACTTAATTAGGTTAGTTAGGGCAATTAGAAAAGGAAATACGTGCTCAAATATGTGTGTGTGTGTATATTCAAATTCTTTAAACCAGTTTGCTTCTCCTCGGCACTTCTTTCCTCTAACAGTTGTTCTCATGCGCAGGGATGTCATTTCTAGCATTCCGTCAGAGACTATCATGCAAAATTCCTGCAGGGCTTTCTCTTCTGGAGATGGTAAGATATTGATTAATATCCTTAATGAAATATCTTTTTCCAAATTAGCATTTTTCTCTTATTGTTTTCTTTTAAAACGTTATTAATACATGGGTGTGTCATTTTGGTTAAGAATTTGTTTCCTGTGCACTACACGAGGCAACATGCGAAAATAAGAAAATAGTTCTAGGTCAGAAATTCTTCGAAATTTTTCTCTGGAAAAACGTGAAGGCGATATATGAAAATTTCTTGTTGTAATTGTGTTATATAATGATTTGGTTGTAAACGTGAAGGCAGTATGAAAAGCAGTTTGCATCTCCTTTTTTCAGCCCTTTTAGCGCCTTTCTTAAATTGCATATATTGAGGAACAGGTGTCTGCTTGAAAATAATGGCGCGTTCCTTTTTATTCCATTATCATGCTAAATTTTAATAATTTTGACTTCACAATTTATTTATGAAGGGGATCTGGTTGATGCCGTTGTCCCTTTTATGGGAGAATCAATTAGTGATGGCACTTTGGCAACATTCTTGAAAAGTATGTTTTCGACTACTTTGATTTCCATTGATCGCTCTATCATACTTGTTTTCATTGTTGTAAGTGCTTGATTGTGGATACATGTGAATTGAATTTTTGGGAGCAGAACCTGGTGATTCAGTAGCAGCTGATGAACCAATTGCTCAAATAGAAACTGATAAGGTACTAAGGCCTGTTCTTCTATTGAAAAGATGTGGGTTTATACCCCTGATACTGCAGTGTTTTTTTTCATCAGGTAACAATTGATGTGGTCAGCCCCCAAGCTGGTGTGCTACAAGAGGTAATTTATCGATAAATTTGGGTCTATGGGTAGCTCATTCCTAGATTCCTACCTTCTCGTTTCTGGAACTAGGGGGTGATATGGGTCCTGATCAATAATGCTTTTCCAGTACGTGGCAAAAGAAGGAGATACTGTGGAACCAGGTACCAAGATTGCTATCATTTCAAAGTCTGCCGAAGGTGTAGCACCTGCTGCTCCTGCTGAAAAGAAATCAGAAAAACCTGCTTCCAAGCAATCTCCTCCAGCTGAAACTGTAAAGGAGGAGAAGCCAAAAGCTAAGGCTGAAGCTTCTCCTGCTGTGGTGATGCCTAAACCCCCTTCTACACCACCTCCAAAACGAACTGCTACCGAACCTGTACTTCCACCCAAGGAATGGGAAAGAAGAGTAAGTCTTCCATTTTCTATTAACATCCAAATTATACCTTTGATGAAATGTTAGCATCATAGAAAAGAATCCTGAATGTCTGACATCATGTAACAGGTTCCTATGACAAGGCTTAGGAAACGGGTTGCTACACGATTGAAAGATTCCCAGAATACTTTTGCCATGTTAACGACGTTCAATGAAGTCGACATGTGAGTTCATTTCCCCCCATGTATTTTAGCTCTCTGTATCAGGTGTTAGGCATGCAATTTTATTCCCTTTTTCAATACAAATTTTTTGTGAACTTGATGAGAGCATTTTGTAGAAGCTATGGTGTATACATGATAAATCTGGTTCCATGGATTTGTTTTCTTTTCTTATTGACTTGATACATATTGCAGGACTAACTTGATGAAGCTCCGATCTGATTACGAGGATGCGTTTGTTGAGAAACACGGTGTGAAGTTAGGATTTATGTCTGGATTTGTTAAAGTACAAAATTTTATATTCTTTAAATGCTCACATATGCATTCATGTCCTGTCTTCTTTATAACTTTTCTTTCCCTTTTTTCCCTTGCCATTTCCTCTCTGTTATTGTTTCAGGCTGCAGTTAGTGCACTTCAACATCAGCCTATTGTAAATGCTGTAATCAACGGGGATGATATTATTTATAGGGATTATATAGATATCAGCATTGCTGTTGGTACTCCAAAGGTAATCCATTTTCTCGATTGTCTTGCTTTTACATCCTTTTTATTTACCAAATTGCAATTTAGCCCTTAAAATAACTTGCTAAAACCTGGATCATTAGTAGTTCTCTCAACATTCTCTTGGCTAATATTTTTAAAAATTTATAAAGCTGTGGGTTTATGCATGTAAAAATGTATTGAAACCAAAACTTTCCTTTGACAATTAAAGGACACTATAGACTTATTCAAGGTTTTTCTTAGGTCGCAACTCTTTATTCTTCTTGATATACTCGTCTACAACACTTGTATCGGACCTATATCACAGCAGAGACCTTCTAGGACCCCGAATACGTGGAAAAGCTTAGAAAAATCTGATGTACCTGTGTGATTGTGTCCTACATAGGGCTGTAAATGAGACGAGACAAATCGCGATCTACTCGAGATCAACTCGATCAAGGCTCGATAAATACTCGGATCGAATGAACTCGAGCTCGACTCGAATTTTTAACGAGCCGAAACGAGCTGCTTAATACTCGACTCGAAAAGCTCGTGAGCAGCTCGAAAATACAATATATTAAGATTTTATTTTTTTTAAATAAATTATTAATAATATTAATATTTATGTGTTGGTTTTTTTTTAAATAAAGTAAGACTTTTATGTATTTAAGATTCAAGTTCGAGTTTGAGGCTTCAATCTAGTTAAGTTTAAGATTTTTTTTTCATTTCGAGCTTTTTTGAGCTGCTCACGAGCTTCAGTTCAGGATTTCGAGTTCGAGTCGAGCTTAAAAATTTTAAGCTAGCGAGTTTTCGAGTCGAGTCGAGCTTCATTTCAGAGTTTTCGAGTCGAGTAGAGCTCAGCAATACTCGAGCTCGACTCGGCTCGTTTACACCCCTAATCCTACACATGTCCATATCCAAAGATGCTTTATTTTATATCATGGCTAAAGAGAATGAAATGTCTTAAATTATACGAGTCTTTTTCTCGTTTTGTTTTGATCTTTGTTCCTTTATCTTTCCTGCTAGGGGCTTGTCGTTCTGGTAGTCCGTGACGCTGACAAGATGAATTTTGCTGAAATAGAGAAAACAATCAACGGCCTCGCAAAGAAATGGCTGGAGGCTAGTTTACGATACCCAACGGTGGTGTTTATGGTAGTCTATTGAGTACCCCCATTATCAACCCTCCTCAGGTTCGTGGTTTCACACTAAAATGTATTCACTTATACTTGCTCGTATATGTACGAATGAGGGTTTCGTACACATGATTTTTCCGCGTCGGTTGAGGTGTTTGATCACTTCGGAGTTTCTCATTTCTAGCCTTTGCTTGTGAGCAGAATGAAATCCTACATTAACTAAACGGTTTTTGCTCATCTTTTTGTAGTCGGCTATCTTGGGTATGCACTCAATCGTGTCCCGACCAATGGTTGTTGGAGGTAATGTAGTGCCGAGACCGATGATGTACATTGCACTCACTTATGACCATAGGCTGATTGATGGAAGAGAAGCGGTTTTCTTCTTGCGACATATCAAGGACGTCGTCGAAGACCCTCGTAGGCTGTTGCTCGATGTCTAAAAGGCCTAAATGGCATCTGCTGTGATCATTCTCACGCACACAAACTATCCGAATAAGTTCTCTAGTTTCGTAGGGTTTCTTTCGTCGATTCACCGTTAAACGAGTTCCGAAACCGCGGCTGGCCATCGCCGAACTGTATTCGAGTTTTCCGATGTTTTGCAATATGCTCTGTACTTTCAATTTCTATACCGAGTTATTTACAGTTTTGGTGCAGAAAGAGTGGGCGTGGTACCTAATGTAATATCCATAAATCAAAATTTGTGACACTTTAAATGCGAAAAAAAATCAGATTTGGACAGTTTAATTTCTTCTTAGATTAATATCTATTGACTGTTCTTAGGACTGTTCTTAGGACTGTTCTTAGATTAATAGAATTCGACTCGGCTCAAAAATTTGCAAACCTAAAATTTTTAAGTTCGACACAAACTCTAAATCATAAATTAAAGCTTGTAAAAAACTCGAATAAAAAAATCTTAAATTTGATTAAAACTCGAACTTAAACATTAAATACATAAAAATTTTATATAATATTTAAAAATAACTAACACATAAATGTTAATATTATTAAATAATTTATTTTTAAAAAAAATAAAATCTTAATATAATATATTTTAGAGTTGCTCGTGAGCTTTTTGAATTGAGTATCAAGTAGCTCGTTAAGAACTTGAGTCGAGTTCGAGTCAAGTATTTCTTGAGCTTTGACCGAGTCAATCTCGACTAGCTTACATTATAATCACTCTAAATTATTAAAAAACTTATATTTTTTATTAATTGAGTTTTACCTTATATTGTGGTTTGTATATTATACAAAAGGAAGTGAATCGAGTTTTCTTTAACATTTAATATTCTTTAATTTATAGGCGGGGACGAACCTTAATTGCATAATTATTTTACCAAGGATTGTTTAGAATGGGTATGTATTTATTTTAATTTTTTTAATATTAATTACTCATTACATTAATAATATCTATTATGAAATTTTATTTATACTTATTTTATACAAAAAAATTTATTATTAAAATATATATATCTACCTTAAAAATATTTTAAATCCATATCTATTTACATTGATACTTCTGTCAAAAGGTCTGGTCTCCTTAGGCTTAAATGATCTACCATACATCTACAATGTTCAATTAGGATAGTATTTGATTTTAATTTTATTCTGAAATCATTTGTAATTATTAATGTCTTTTATAATAATTTTTTGAGTAAACTATTTAGTATCTAAATTATCAATTTTGGTCTGTTTTAGTACATGAATTTCTAATTTTTTCAAAATCATACCTAATATTTAATTTTCATTTCATTTTAATACATAGTCGTTAAAAACTTAATACATTTAATATCATTTTTTGTCCGTCTTAGTACCTAAAATTTTAATTTTTTTCAAAATTTAATGTTAAATTTTGAATAAAAGTACTAAAATGAAAAAAAAATTAGGTATGCTTTTTTAAAAAAATAAAAAGTTTAACTATTAAAACGGACCAAAACGGATAGTTAAGTCTTAATTTTTTAAGGGTAAATTACACCATTCCTCACTAAACTTTAATCTTTCTCCTATTTTACTCATCGAACTTTTAATTTTTTCAATTTACTCACTGAATTTTGACTTTGCTTCTGTTTTGAACACTCTACCATTAAATAATTAACAACGTTGTGACATGATATACGATACATAATTTTTTATCTCTAAAAGAAATGAAATTTAAATCAAAATTACATCGTTTTGGTTTAAATTAAAAATATATATTTCTTTTCTTTTCTTCATTCTATCCCTTTTTTTCTTTCTTTTTCTCCCTCCTCCCATTTTTCTCCATTTTGTATCTTCAACAGGAACGAACGAACCCAAATCTCATTTCTCTCCATTGTCTGTCTTCATTTTCTTTTGACTCTACTTTCATTCAACCATCAGAATTTTCTCCAGCGTCAGTTTCTTCCCGTCTCTTTGTCCTTCCTCTCCCTCTCCCTCTCCTCCTCTGATTTTTTTATTGTTCTGATTTTTCTTATTTGTCCAAAGTTTTTATTTATTTATTTAAACCCCTTTAGGAATCTGTCATCTTTAACCCCAAAGGCTCACAACTTTACATCTCTTCCTTCAATTTGGTCTTTACCAAAAGAGACATTGTACGACCCTCATCCGCCCCTTAAATCAAACCATGATTTGAAATCAATCTGATTTTGGAAATTAAAAAACTGTTCTTGACCCTTAAAACCCAAGCTTTGATTTCAACTTCCATCCCTTTACTTTTGGGCCCTTGAAATACTCAATACCCATCGTCCCAAAATTTGGTCTTTACCCTTAAAACCCAATCAATGAGAGCATTGAGATGATGTTGGGACGAAGCAGACAGGTCGGAACTCATAAAAGATTCGATAATTGATGTTGTTGGGGTTGGAATTGGGGGTGGAGAGATGGTGGAGAAATTTGAGCAGTGGCGGTGTAGAAGATGAATTGGGAGGTTCTACAGAGGGTGTGGAATAAATTTAAGAATTTTTATTTTTATTTTATTTTAAATATTATGTGTCAGTATTAAATATTAATAAAAATATATATTTCATCTTTTTATATTAATAAAAAAAATTCACGTCAACGACTGTTATAAAATTAACAGTTCAATGTAAAGTTTTTGTTACCGACTGTTATAAAATTAACAGTTCAATGTAAAGTTTAGTAAACAAAATGAAAAAATTTGAAAGTTAAATGAATAAAATAGGAGATAAAGTAAAGTTTAGTGAAGAACGATATAATTTACTCTTTTTAATTCTTAATAAAAAATGATTTTGATATAATCGTATTTATGGAGAAATTATTTTATGGTCTTATCACGTCATTTATAATTTCAGTGAATTGTATCTATCAATTTAAAATAACTTTCAGATACACTGTCAATTCTTTATTTACACATAAAAAAAAATGAAAATCAACTTTTAAAAATGAAATGGGAAAATATTTTTCAAATAATGTGATAAACAAAATCATCTAATAATTTTTCGTATTTATGAGAAGGTATTTTATCAAAGACTATAAATTTTGAATTTATTTATTTTTAAATAGTTTTATTTATTTTTAAATAGTTTTATGTATTTTTCAGAAATATTTGTCTTAGTCAACCGGTCAATAACACAACACAATTGCAGTCCTTTTTTTTTTTTTTTATAAATTTCTTTATTCCTTTATTAAATCGGTGACAGAAACATGGGTTATGCTGTATTTATTAGCTACGAAACTGTAAAATATAATCTTAAACTCTAAATCTTAAATTTTAAAGGATTGTTTGATTAAAACAAAATGATTAAACGTCGAATGATTCAAATGCTCTGTATGAATTAATTCTGAATGTGAGATGCTATTTGATAATGGTTCTGAATCATTCAGAATGTACTTTAATGTTGAATCATTCAACAGTGTTTTACTAAATCATTCAGCACAGTTTTCATTCAAATGTGAGAATCAAACACGCTGAATGCTGAACGGTTCAACATTCAGTAATAAACAAACCGCCCCTAAATTAATAATTGAATAACTAAACATGTAATTACCCTAATTAATATGATAATCAGAAAGATTCATATATTCACAATTACATCCATAATAACCCATCCAAAACGGCATATTATTGCCGTATCCAAACAAAATTCCAATGTTTTTAAAATCAGATCGGACATTGAACCGGTGAAGGTACTGGTTCACTGGTTCAACCGGGTTCAATCGGGTTCAATCGCGGTTGAACCGGATTTTATATAAAATAATTTTTTTTTTTAATTTTACATAATATTCAAAACAATATTAATATATATATAACACTTTTTTTAAGTTTATAATATTAAAAGGTATAAAAATATCACAAGTCATAACATGTATAAATAAAAAATCATAAAATCAAGTGAAACAAAATGATTCAAATCAACTACAACATAATATTTAAGGAAAAAGGGCGAAGAAGGTATGGATGCCTGCTTTTAGAGATGGTAGGTCATTTAAAGAAGCTCTGGGAGGTTTTCAGGTTGAACGTGGTGAGAAACCTCCAGTTGTCCTGAAGGTGTCCTGCATATTAATGTTGTTGATGATTGTGAGGTAAGTGCTTTACCTGTTCCTTCTGCTGATTTAAGGAATTTGATAATTCCAAAGAATGAGGTATCGTGGAGAGAATTATGTTTGGTGGGAAAAATAAAAAAGAGTTTTAATGAAAATATTATTCTAACAGCTTTTAGAGCTGAAGGGTTGGATATTAAGGTGAGTATTTGGCATGATCTTCTGATGATTATTCATTTCAAGAATAAAAATGATCGCCAGGTATGTTGGCTAAAAAGAGATGAATGGATTAGCTCTTGGTTTGATGAGCTTGAACTTTTGGAAGGTTATGAAAATAGAGTTAAAGTTAAAGTTTGGGTTACTCTAAAGGATGTTCCTCCTTCGGTCTGGAGTGAGAGTTTTTTCAGGGGCATTGGTAGTTTATGGGGCAGAGTTCTTCAAATTGATAAAGAAACCACTGACCGTGAAAGATTTGATATAGCAAGAGTGTTACTGGAAATGCAATCTGAATCTTCGGTTCCTGGAAATATCTCCATTTTATGCAATGGTTGCATTTACTGCATTAAAATTCTTACTGAATTGCAGGAAGAAGATAGAGAATTCATTGATGGTACCATGGTGGGGGGTGGAGTTTGGCAAGTCGATGTAGAAGAAAAATCAATTGATCCAGCTCGTGAAATCGAAAATGAAGTAGGTGTTGGTCTCGGAGGAAGCCTGAGCGTGGAGCAGCAGGCAAATTCGGTTAATCAGGAATTTGCAAATGACCGTGGCATCTCTGAAGGTAGTTTGTTGCATGCAGAATCAATGGTGAAACTATCAGATGCAGTTGAAGATGGGTTGCATGAAGTTCCAATTATGGCATTTTCTGGGGTAGCAGTTAAACCTATTGATGAGAGTTTTGAATTATTGGAAATCAATAGGGACGCTGAATTGAATTGGTCGACTCAAACCATTTCGAATAGTTCGAGGTTGCTAGATGTACCTATAGAACAGGTGTCTTCATTGTTAGAAAAGGAGGAGGTTAATTCCGCTCGGATACGCGGATACAAAATGGGGGGCGCTATGACGAGGTTCAAAGATCTAGTTATTCCCGATGTGGTAAATTGTTCTAAATCGACTTCTAGACGGGTGAGTCGGGTCAGTCTCA